AAAAGAGAACAAGGATCAGCTGATTATCTGTTATTTCTTTCTCACTACAGATAACTAAGAAGTTGCTATACTTTATTTGATCAAAACCTGCAAGAATGTAGTGGAAAAGGAAAAAGGAATTATCACTAATTTATATAAGTATAGGGCGTCTTCTTGAGGGGGGGTTGGACTAGAAGACCTCCAGAGGTCCCTTCCAAATCTGTTATATTATTTCACTTTATTATTCATTTAGTATATGATGAGAACAAGACAAAGATTAGTAAATATATGCACACAATCCACATAATCGCACATAAAACTTCTACAGAGGTATAGCAGTGGCATTACACCTACATGTACAATTCAGTTATCCAGGCAATCAATCGCCTCTGGTGTTGCTTCATGCAGATCTTTTAGGAAACAAGAAAATGCACCCTGTGGGCAGTTTTGCACAATATATTTAACAGTTTGCATATTATCCCCACAGTTGCTACAGGGGAATCTTTCCAGCTCAATTGACATAGGGCAGAGGCACTTCTTCCAGTGTCACATCTAACTCTGTTCAGTTTAGTCCAGATAGAGCGAGCCAAATTAAAATCTGGTAGTTTGGTAGAGAAAAATAACTAACGGTCAGGCTGCAAGAAGCAGTCTGAACATTCCTCTCTCCAAGCATTCTTGGGGTTAACCTGGATAGATGTGAAAGGAATAGCTGTTTTCCATGCAGGCCTACTTTTACCTCACTGTGGTAACTTTTCTATCTTTTTAAAATGTTCCAAAGCAAGTGAAGACTTTTTCAATTTTCAGAAGTGAGTCAAAATGCCTACTTTATTCAAATGCAGCCTAATATCAATCTAGATGAAAAATGCAATGAGCTAAATTTTGCTTTCCTCGCAAAAGCATGAAGCCGAAGATACCAGCCTGAAGATGACGAGTGGGATCTCGTCGAAAAGTTGCCAAGATACTCTCAATCTTATACGGGAAAGGACCCGAATACACCAAAACTTGCATACCTTTACCCGTGAAAATCTACGAAAACATATATATATATACAGGTGAAACCCGAAAAATTAGAATATCATGCAAAAGGTCATTTATTTCAGTAATGCAACTTAAAAGGTGAAACTAATATATGACATAGACTCATTACATGCAAAGCGAGATAGTTCAAGCCTTGATTTGTCATAATTTTGATGATTATGGTTTACAGCTCATGAAAACCCCAAATTCACAATCTCAGAAAATTAGAATATTACATGAAATCAATAAAACAAGGATTGTACATAGAACAATATCAGACCTCTGAAAAGTATAAGCATGCATATGTACTCAGTACTTGGTTTGGGCCCCTTCTGCATCAATTACTGCCTCAATGCAGTGTGGCATGGACGCTATCAGCCTGTGGCACTGCTGAGGTGTTATGGAAGACCAGGATGCTTCAATAGCGGCTTTCAGCTCTTCTGCATTGTTCGGTCTCATGTCTCTCATCTTTCTCTTGGCAATGCCCCATAGATTCTCTATGGGATTCAGGTCAGACGAGTTTGCTGGCCAATCAAGCACAGTAATCCCATGGTCATTGAACCAGGTTTTGGTACTTTTGGCAGTGTGGGCAGGAGCCAAGTCCTGCTGGAAAATGAAGTCGGTATCCCCATAAAGCTCGTCTGCAGAAGGAAGCATGAAGTGCTCCAAAATCTCCTGGTAGACAGCTGCGTTGACCCTGGATTTAATGAAGCACAGTGGACCAACACCAGCAGATGACATGGCTCCCCAAATCAACACAGACTGTGGAAACTTCACACTGGACTTCAAGCATCTTGAAGTGTGTGCCTCTCCATTCTTCCTCCAGACTTTGGGTCCTTGGTTTCCAAATGAGATGCAAAAGTTGCTCTGATCAGAAAAGAGGACTTTGGACCACTCAGTAACAGACCAGTTCTTTTTGTCTTTAGCCCAGGTAAGATGCTTCTGACGTTGTTTGTTGTTCAGGAGCAGCTTGACAAGAGGAATACGACATTTGAAGCCCATGTCCAGGATCCGTCTGTGTGTGATGGCTCTTGATGCACTGACTCCAGCCTCAGTCTACTCCTTGTGAAAGTCCCCAACACTTTTGAATGGCCTTTTCCTGACAATCCTCTCCAGGCTGCAGTCATCCCTGCTGCTTGAGCACCTTTTTCTTCCACACTTTTCCCTTTCACGTAACTTTCTATTAATGTGCTTTGATACAGCACTTTGGGAACATCCAACTTCTTTTGCAATTACCTTTTGAGGCTTTCCCTCCTTATGGAGGGTGTCAATGATGGTTTTCTGCACAACTGTCAGGTCAGCAGTCTTTCCCATGATTGTGATTCCTACTGAACCAGACTGAGAGACCATTTAAAGGCTCAGGAACTCTTTGCAGGTGTTATGGCTTAATTAGCTGATTAGAGTGGGACACTTTGAGCTTAGAATATTGAACCTTTTCACAATATTCTAATTTTCTGAGTTTGTGAATTTGGGGTTTTCATGAGCTGTAACCTATAATCATCAAAATTATGACAAATCAAGGCTTGAACTATCTCGCTTTGCATGTAATGAGTCTATGTCATATATTAGTTTCACTTTTTAAGTTGCATTACTGAAATAAATGAACTTTTGCATGATATTCTAATTTTTCGAGTTTCACCTGTATATATAACATTTTTATCACATCTTATCTTACTTTAACATCCTTAAACTTTACTTCTATTCTCTAACCAGTTGTACCATGTATTCCAAATAGATAATATTCAGTTTCTCCTCTTTCTTTTATTTCCATAGTCAGCCTATCCATCTCCGTACATTCTAGCACTTTTCTTATCACCATTCCATTAGAAGGTATACTTTCATTCTTCCAATTATACGCGTAAACAATTCTGGTCGCTGTTATTATATGTAGCATTACATATTAGGGTTTTTTTTTACTGTAATTTCCTATTAATATCTCTAATAAAAATAACTCCGGTTTTAGATCTATTTGTTGTTTGGTAATTGTCTCTAACCACTTTCTTATCTTTATCCAGTATTTCTCTACTTCTGGGCATGTCCACCACATATGGTAGTATGTTCCTTGTTTCTGTTTACATTTCCAGCGCTCCGCTGGTCTATTTGGGAACATTTTTGCTAATCTTGCTGGGGCCAAATGCCAGTGGTAAAACATTTTATATAAATTTTCTTTGTATCCTGCCACCATTGTCAGTTTATAATTTTTTTTCTCACAGTTTTTCCCAGTTCTCTAATTCTATGGTGTAGCCAAATTTTTTTGCCCAGATTATCATAGTTTCTTTAACTGTTTCTTCTTCCATTTTGAATCTCAGTAAATAATTATGTTTTTTAAATCATTTTTTCCTCCGTCCCCTGTAGTATTTTATCCAGCTCTTGTAGTTCCCTATAGAAACCATGTCTTTTTTGTATCTCGACTGGATTTGTAAATAGGGCCACCAATCTGTATCAATTCCCTGGTTTTTTAATTCTTGATTCGTTTTTACTTTTCCTTGATCATCTAATATATCTTTGTATCTTGCTATTTTGTCTAAGTCCAACACATTCGGATATATTACTGCTTCCATAGTTGATAGCCAGACCAGCTTTTTATTGTAGTTGTTCTTCTTTATTTTTATTAAAGATTTCTTATAAGTAGTTTAAAATGAGACTGACTTGAAATTCTGTAGGTGCTGATCCAAATCTATCACCTCTTGCCTCATTCTTATGTGATCAACTGATTTTTTTTAAATATACAGAAGTAACGTTTTGCATAGTTTATCTTCTCATTTCTCCCAGTGAATCATAAACTGCAATTTATATTATCTACTGTTTATTTGAAAGAGGGAGTACTTAGCATTAAAGTAGAGCAAATGTTTACATGTTGGAGATAGCTTTAGAGTCTTCCTGTTGTTGTGGTCTTCCATTAAAGAAACAGGCAGTAGGTAATAGATTGCTCTCTGAAAAGTTACTCTTTGTCAGAAATAATCTGTCTTCTTCAATTCAATGCTCAACGAATATTGACTTTTTGATCTGATATGAGAAAGCCTTTAAGGCTGCTTTCATCAAGTGATGTCTTCTATATAGTAAGGAACTTCAATTCTTAGATTTTGAAGCAGTCAAAGATATAACTAGTGGTCATTAAAAGAAGTTTTTCTGGTCTCCTGCACTATAGGTTTAGAAACTAAAAGAGAGTTGTGGCTGCTGGGAATAGGGATAGGGTTAGGGATAGGATGGGATGGGATGGGATGGGATGGGATAGAATTGAATTGAATTGAATTGAATTCTTTATTGGCCAAGTGTGATTAAACACAAAAGGAATTTGTCTTTCGTGAATATGCTCTCAGTGTACATAAAAAATTCATTCATCAAGAATCATAGGATACAACACTTAGTGATAGTCATAGGATACTAAATAAGCAATTAAATCATACTAAGAAACTAAGTTGCTCTCCTCACTTAATTTTTGTCATCCTTCCCTTCAGTAATAGCTTCAGATGTTATAATGCATGCTTCTGCCTGTATCAGATTAGCTAAAATAATGGAAACGGTCTAAGTAAAGCTTTGCATTGTATTTAAATATATTAAAATAATTGTTTTTATATCACCTTTTTAGTATAATATTTATTGAGTTATAATTCTGAAAACCCTATTATTTGTGAATAATCATGAACCTAAGTGATACAGCAATTAGTGTATTGTAGTAGAATTTGACTGGCAAAATCAGAGTTCAGATATTGCTTACTGCTCAGATATAGTGAAGCCAGGAATTGTGTGAAGATAAAATGGGATTATCCTAGCCAGTGGCCTTCTTGGATATATTATTTACAAATGTAGTAAAATCTCAGTGAAACTTCTGAATTTCTAAATGAAAGTTATGAGAAATTAAAAATAGATTAAAACTCGGTAATAGAAACTATATTTATTTCTTGTTCAAAATTTTGGACTTCACATGTTGCATCTTAGTCTTTGAATTCAGCTGTGACTTTTATCTAATGGTTGGAAATATTATGTATATTTTTTTCTTTCAGGGGAACCAAAGCTGAGACATGTAGAAAAGGATATTTTGATTCCAAAAATAATGAAAGACAAAGCCAAGGAGCTGTGTTCTGAACAAGTGAAAGGTGAGAGTGAAATTCAACTAGATATCAAATCTAAGAATTTACGTGACCTGAATTTTAATTTTCTACTGTTTTCTTTCCTGGCCAGATTGCTACAGTAGCAATGAATCTATGTGTACTGATAATTCATTATTATGTAAGATGATGATAGGTTTATATATTTTGTCAAAATAATTTCCTTAGTTGTAACTAAGAGTAGTAAGTTCTTCAAAGTCTTAATTTTTCAACCAAAACTGCATACTGGCATTTCCATTTGAGAATCAACCATCTAATTAAAAATGCACCTATATTTTTATGCATAAACATTGTATTACATGCATACAATGCATTTTATCTAGGAGATGCATTGTTAGTGCATGTGTTTATAATATATGTATGGGTACCTGGGTATGGATTTGGAGTTGTGAACAGCATTCTAAAAATGCATATTTCAGCATTAGTTCCAATTAATATATCAATCTGGAACATCTGAATTGGCTAAATCTGTATAAAAATGACCATGGAGCACATTTCTTCATGAGGATGTTAATTGGGATGTCACATTGAAGACTGAAGTCTGGAAGACATTATGGGAAAAGATAATACAGGTTTTCATTCATGGAAGATAATAGAAAATAATAATTGTGCTATATTATATTTAGTAGATTAAAGGAATTTTTCTGTTGGTAACTTTGTAAATTGCAGCTAAAACTAGAGATTGATATTGTAACAAGAACTTATAACAAAACAAGCTTCTGCAAGGTCCCAGGAGTGGCCAAGAATGGGTTGAATCGTCTGTTTCCTGTTGAGACCAACCTGTCTGTTTCTTTTAGCCACGCCTCCTGCCTCCACATTCCTGCCCCAGTTTCGGCTTGGCCTTAACCTGAATGAGACATTTCAAAGCATTCCTGGTCACTTCTGATCTTCAGGATCGTGAGCTTTATAATTTTTTTTTCTCCTTTTCTATTTTTCTGCCTTCCTTTAAGGATTAGAGGCGGCGGCTGGCTTTTAAAGCTGCTGCTTTAAGGACTTTACAGTCCTTGAGGGCCCATTTTCCTCACTGAAGCGAGAGGGAGTCCTTGCCTACTTTTGGCTAGGCATACTCAGTGGCAGTGGCCTCAAGAGAGGCGTGGTCCCTACCCAGCAGCTGTGGGCATACCTAAGAGCCACAGCCTCAGGGGAGGCCATTGGAGTCCCTGCTTAGTTTGAGTGTGTCTCTTAGACACACTCAGAATTCCCGGCTAGCCTGATTGGCTTTAAGTCCCTGCCTGGTCTCGGCTAGGTATACTGATTGCAGTGGAGGCCATTGGAATCCCTGCTTAGTCTTGGCTAGGCACACTCAGAATTCCCTCCTAGCCTGGTTGGCTTTAAGTCCCTGCCTGGTCTTGGCTAGGTATAGTGATTGCAGGAGGTTTTGGGCTACAGGAGTTTGCAAACAGTTTGTAATGGCTGCATTTTTCAAATTGCAAAATGGAGGGAAGAGCTACTGGGCATAGAGCCAAGAAGCAAGGTTCCAGTAATTCAAATCTGGCAACTAATGTTGCAATGCTTCCAGAGTCTACTCCCCTAACTGGGGCCCAAGGGAAGCAAAGGCATTCCAAAGCTTCTGAAAAAAATGCCAGCAGAAGACATAAGGCTCTGGAAAAACAATTTCACAGAGCAGACACGCCCAATCTAGGGCTGAACAGGGTACTTCTCGCCCAGCTTCTTTCTATTCTTCCTCTGAGTGATTGCTGACTAATCAGCCTGTAATTGCTCCACCCTTGTCACCAGAGGGTGCAAGTGAGGCTTCCTTTAACTTGTCTCCTAATATTAATGATTCTCTTGTGCGAGATTCTGTTTTCTGCCCAGCTTCTGCGGCTGCTCCTATTGCTGCTGCTACTACTGCTGCTGCAACTCAACATTCAACTCCTCGAAGAGAAGTGTCAGCCACCTTCATACCAGCTGCAGCTGGTTTGAGACAAGGTGAGACCTATACTTCTGATTTACCTGCTGATCTCAAATTGCTCATTGCACAAACTATTTCTCAGGCAATTGCGGATAAATTGAGCAGTATTCCCAGGCCGGTAGCCCCTCCAGTTGAGGCTCTCACCAGTCTTCCCCATGGAGAGCATTTGGCAAGAGACCCGTCTTACAGGCAGGAGTCCCAATCGCAGGATGAATCTTCTAATGGTGAAGATTCACTTATACAAGAAGAGAGTCAAGGAGTGGTGGATTTATCGGAGGATGAAGAGTTAACACCTGATGTGCTGGCCTTTTCCGGCCTCTTTCCTCCTGCCATGTTTAAATCTCTTCTTCATAAGGCACATGTGACAGCAGGGATGGGGTTTGACCCCTCTCTCAGCTCATCAGGACCCACAAATCCCAGTGACCTCCTTTTCTCTAAGCCGGCCACTGTACAGGAGGATGTTCCGGCTCCACAGTTGTTCATTGATGTGGTGCAACAACAATGGGTGCTACCAGCATCCTTCCCAACACCAGATGTCAGTTTTACCAGCTGGCACCAGCATTGGAAAACCAACTGCTTTTGCCCACAGTAGATTCTCCAGTGGCATCTCTTGTCTCCCCCTCATTGGTATCTGGCGATATAGCGGAGGGGCTGAAACCAGAGGATAAAAAAGTGGAATTGACATTGCGCAAGGCGCACCAGTCCTCAGCCTGGGTGATTAAGGCCGCATATGCAGCCTCATTTTTTAATTGCATTTCGTTACTGTGGTTCCAGCAGATGCAACAGAGGGTTCCACCCAGTGAAACCAGGTTCCACCAGGACTTGAATAAATTGATTGCAGCAACACAATTTTCTGCAGATGCAACATTATCTGCGGCTAAGTATGCTTCTCGATCTTTGGCCTCCTCCATCACATCAAGGAGGATGCTCTGGCTCCGCAATTGGCCAAGTCCAAATGGCGGTTGGCCTTGGCCCCTTATACAGCGGGCTCCCTCTTCGGGGAGGCTCTGGAGCCTGTATTAGTCGAGAATAAGGACAAGAGAAAGGTCCTGCCATCCTCCCTTAAGAAGGGCAAGAGGCGCACGGCTCCTTATTATCGCAGGTCTTCATATCAGCCTGATTCCAGCTCTTCTTTTCAGCAGTCTCAACGATCTTTTCCTCAAAGTTCTGACCGCCAAACAGATAGGACAGGGTTTTGTACCCAGTCTAGGCAGACCCTCCAGAGCAAATGGCCCTTTCGAGGGGCAGGAGGTCGCGCCGTTCCTAGACCACAATGACTACATGCCAAGCGCACCCATTGGCAGCCGATTGGCTCTTTTTGCGCCCCAATGGGAGATGATCACGAGCGACCTCTGGATCCTCAATACACTGAGGCTCAGCCTCAGCTTGGACTTCCTCTCCCTTTCTCCGAATCACTTTGTCAGCTGTCCGGTATCCCGAAAAAGAAAGTCTCCTGGAAGCTGCCAATAGGTATTGGCTATTCTTAGGCAATTTATTAAGGAAGCTGCTAACCTCCGACCTCCGGTGGTCCATCACTACCCCATATGGGATTTATCTCGAGTTCTTCAGGTCCTTATATCAGCCCCGTTTGAATTTTTGTGTACTGTGAGCTTGCGCCTCTTAACATTTAAGGTAGTGTTTTTGGTGGCTATCACCTCCGCCAGGTGCATTTCCGAACTGGCTGCTCTTTCAGTACGTCAGGTTTTGTGTATTTTCTTTTTTTTTTATTGAAAAAGTTTTCAAATACAAATTTTCCCCCCTTTTTTCTCCCCCTCCTCCTCCCTAACCCCCCCTCCCTACCCATCCCCCCCTGTGACTTCTTCATAACCAAAAACCTAATTCATAACAGATTACTTACTCCCACCTCTAAATACTGACCTTTACTTACTAGAAATATTATTAATATTATAACATCCCCCTTTAGCCATACATTTCAAGAAAGAAAGAAAAACATTATACTATAACATTGTATGATAACTTCTAATTTAGCATAGTATTATTATAACTCCCAATTTGGCAATAATCTGCCCTTTTTCTCCTCTCCCAAACTTATATCTATATATTATTACAACAATTCAAAACCACCTTCCACTTTAAAACTATACAATAAATCCTACTTTAACATTTAATCTTTTATATATATTAATATAACATTTCAAAGCGACCTTCCCCATAAAACCTAATTTAACATTTATTCAACTCTATCCATTTCCTCCACTCCCCTAAATATATCACTTAAACATCCCTTTTCTTAAACTAATCAGTCTGTAAATTAGCTTATTCACCCACTTTCCTGCAAAATTACCATACACAACAATTCTTAATATCTTTGATTCACTGCCCACTCTGCTTAAATAAATATATATATATATATATATATATATATATATATATATATATATATACATATATATATATACGTATATATTCCATTATATCTAAATAGAAAAGAAAAGACAATGACTTTAAATTTATAGTCCATATAATATCTTCTTTGAAGTCTTTCCACTGGATTATTAAAACCATCATCCATAATAGGGTAACATAGCTTCCTGATGCAACAGTTTGTTCAAAATCTTCAATCATATCTGCCCCCATCAGTAGTAAATATCCTCATATATATATAAAAGTAAAAACAACCACCCGAGTGACATTATAATTATATTCCATATAGTTGTAATTGTGGCTTTCATCAGGATTTTTGATTCCCATCATCCTAGTGGGTAACAGCCAGATCTTCTGCATGCCCCAACGTAACTCTCTTGCTTTATAACTCAAGATAGTTATAATATATTTATTGATACAAAAAAAAAAAATATCCAAAGTAGATAATTCAAATCCAACAGTTTAAGGCTCTTTTCATATCCCAGAATTACGGCAATGCAGAGGTCTGTCACTGTCCTCAGGATAATATTGACCAATACTTCGCCTCAGCTATCTTTTCACATATTCATTCATTTTTTAAAGTCACTGGCTTCACTGTTGCTTGATTTAGAAATTTCTATTTTTGTGCGACCTATTTCTTTTTTTTCTTTTCTTTTTGTGGGTTTAATTCCCATCCTGGTTTCCTTTCTGC